TCACTCTCTCAATTTTAATATTTTAGTAGAAATGCATCCAGATAAATGTTTGCTTAGTCTGCAGGTTTGCTGCGGCGGGGGTATTTAGACCTTAGATGTAAAGAGCAATTAGTGCTATGTGCCAAATTAAAAAGAACATTTTTTTTTTAAGATATTAGAATTTTTTGTCAAACAGAGTAAAAATTTATAGTTAGCATAAATTAGCATAAATTGCTCAACTATTCCAAAATAGTTATATTTAGGGCATTTTTGTAAATACAAAAGTTGTTCCTTATTGTGTAAGCAACATTTATTGAAATAAAAGTAACTCGCTATATATTACTGTTTTCGAGATATAAGCTCCCGATGAGTTTCATGTAATAAATGCCGCCGCCATTTTTAAAATGGCGGATTCTGAGGTTATGCCCACTCTGCCAAGCTGGCACCCACGTGAAAAATGATAACCCACATAGTACCTACATGATCCCTTAGGGTGTTTTTCTATACATAAAATGCACACGGGAACCACCCTAGCAAGTGGATTACCAAGTCTACCAATTAATACAAGAGAAACAGTGTGAGTCCAAATAAAAAGTAAGTTCTGTATCTGCAGTATGAAATGTATTAAAATGTATTATTGTATTGGTTCCTTAATTACCCATGTTGTCACTGCTGTTATCTGGATAGTTTCTCTTGCTATACATAACTCTTTGTCAGCATTGCTATCATCAGTGCTAGTAGTTCTTGTCAGTGCTAGTTTCCATCCTTAATTGTCATCCTCACTATCACTATCTTCACTGCTACTGTAACTATCATCACTGCTGCCATCACTATCGTCCTCTATGTGGCTGACGTTCACACCCTCTTTCTTCAGCAACATTAGTCGCAATATCTGAGTCACTTTATTACTCAGTTCAGGATATGACAGCAGCAATTCTTTACCATGTTTCAGTGCCTCCTCGTAGTGACCCAACATCACTGCTGACAACAGTGACATCACTGACATCATCGCTTCTGCTGTTGAATCTGGTGCGGCTTTGGTTGGATCCATACTTCAACCGTTGTTTAGACTTTATTTACTTAATTTATTTAGTTGTATTATGTATTGTGTGTTGGAGATAATAAATGTTTATGTGTTGTGTTAGCTTACTGAATTGAAATTTTTTGTTGCTTGGCGACAAAACTGAATAGTGGTTGAGTTTGAAATATGTCCAATCCTACCCTGTTTAAATGTAGTGTAATTATTAAGACACTAACATAGGGAGCAAACAGTTTAGGAAATGAAAATTAAATTAAATTAAATTAAAAATTATTTATTTACCCAGGCAAAGTGGCCCTTTCTTACACTTAACCTGTACTTAAATATGATACAGTAGAACCTCTTTAATCCGAACCCCTGTAATCCGAACACCTCATTGCTGTACTCTACACACAGTACAGTAGTTCTTTATTATATACTGTATTTATTGATATACACATCATAATTATTTCAATTGTAATGTACAGTACTGTTTACTCCCTACGTTTACTACTGTATTTAATAAACACTGTATTTTACTTTATAAGGTATTTTTCACTTTTCCCTAGCTATTGTTATATAAAAACAACAATTTGTTCTGTAATCTGACCTATTCAATAGTCCGAACTACCCCCGGTCCCAATTAGTTCGGATTAAAGAGGTTCTACTGTACAAATATTTAACAAAATCAGTTTACAATTAAAAATAAACAATAATAATGGTTTAGTTTACCTCTGTCAATATGGTCCTTGCGTAGTTTGTCACTACTGCAGTTTCGAGCTCGTGGACACAGAAAACATATTACTATAATCATAGATAAAACATACTCCCTTAGTAGATTTCCCATCCTTATGGAACAGCTGAAGCCAATTTTATTGTTAGTTCTGTACGGTTTTCTGTAGAGGTCGTGTTTTGTTTACAATTTGTTTCCCGTTATTACAGCCATTTAAAACCTCGTTTAACCAAATAATACGATCTAATCATAAACAATAACTTGTCCCCTAGTTATATAACCAAACAGTAAAGCACAAATCAAGAAATTAACCCTAAAATAATAGAAACAAAGTTTCGTCGACACTAGCGCCTTTGTGTCACGTACATGAACTAGACACGTAAAACGTGCTTCAAAATTTACAATGGGATGAGAAGTCTACTTGTGTTGGTTAGTCTATGCTATAACCCAGAATGCTCACCGCATGGTAAAAAGCATTAAGTGTTTTGAGAGAGCTTTGCCTGTCAATCGTAGGCAGCGCCACCAGCGTTGCCATGCACTCAGCATAGCAACGCTGGTGGCGCTGCCTACGGTTGACAGGCAAAGCTCTCTTAAAACACTTAATGCTTTTTACCATGCGGTGAGCATTCTGGGTTATAGTAATATGTTTTCTGTGTTGTGGAGCACATCATCAGGTGAAGGTCACAAAAAGTTAAAACATTTTCCTTACGTGAAGTTATATTCTTCAGATAAAGATTAGTCCTTTTGAAGAATTAGTTAGGTAGTATTAAAATTGTAATTTTGAATTTGTCGATCAGGGAAAGTTTAAAAAAAATCATGGAATTGTCAGGGAATTTTTCAATGTGATTTCACTAGCCACCCTGTAATAGCTTAGTATTAAATAAATAAATTTGCCAAGTTTGATCAAAGTATATCCATAAACAAGCTAACTATATTATTTTACATTATTCTCCAAAAGAATAGCCTATTATGGGAATTTTAAATTTACAATTTTTTGAATTTTCTCCATTACCAATAACTGTGCAAAACACTTTGATACTAATTTTTTTTATGCTCTTTAAAAAGGACTTTTGTGTTTCGAGGGTCAAAAGTAAGAAAACCCAATTTTTCATGGTCCGACCATGCTGGTTCGCGAACTCATTTAAGTTTATTCTGCCTTACTCTTTAAACTTAATGTCATCAAATTCAGACAAAAATCACTAGAGTTATTGCAATCACAGACACATAATCTATATAATTAATACGCTACATGAAACTTTGTCGGTTGAACTCCTCCGCCATTTCTTAACCGATTTTATCCATTGACGTCTCATTGGAAAGAGCGTGTCGCGTAGATTTGCAAACTGGCCTTACATTTTTGAAAGAGTCCCTTGGGCTCTGCCCCAGTGGCTTTGAAAGATCCCATGTTATCCTTATGAAGAACATAATTGTTTACATTTTGATCAGCTGTATAATTTAATTGCTGTTATTTATTTTTCAATTCAATGAAACGCATTGAGTACATTTATTTACTATTTGAGTTTGTGTAAACATAACCCCCAAGACGGATCGTATTAGTATCACTGAGCTAAAATTATAACTGGAGGTAGCACTGCCATGGCAGAAGTCTGTCAAGAGCGTGTCGCTGATTTTGTTAGGTTGGTATAGCAGTGAGTTTTTTTAACCAATAACATGGCTTCTATAACTAGGTTGGTATAGCAGTGAGCTTTCGTGACCAATAACATGGATTCTTATAACTCACACCTCACGCAAACATGGCGGCTGGCGACACGCATCTTTGACATTCAGTGCTACCTCCAGTTAGAATTATAGCTCAGTGATTAGTATGGTTGTTGTATCTTAAATTTGTGTATTTATCGTTGTTTTGTGTCGCTATGACGGATCGAGTTAGCATGATTGTAACTTAAATTTGTGCATTTATCGTTGTTTTGTATAGCTATAATTTGTTTATTTGTTGTATTTCCTTTTAAATGCCTCCGACGCGACGACAACGAAACATAGACAAGAGGCGTAATCGTGATAACGACCGCAGCTACAGAACAGTGGCGCGTAAAGGGCGTTATTATACATCGATGGTAGGCTTAACTCATCACAGTCAGCACCTGACCCTGGACAATCTCAACTATTAAGTTACAAATGCGCCCTAACACTACCCCAAAACGACTTTTCGTTCTCAATTGGCCCTCTATCAATGACCTGTATTGCCTGTACAACGAGGCACTTTGAGAAGGAGAAAATCGGCCGGAATGCTTTAGGTTTATCAACAACGAAGATAAATATGATCTGAGTTACACACTGGTAATCTTTGAGTTGACTCTTTTAAACTCATTGTAAATATGACTGTTATTCGTTTTGAAATAACTCCTGTAATACTTTGCAATTGCTCAAATTCGAGCAACATGTACACTAGTGACTCTAAATACACCAAAATTTTAACGAATAGTGTTTTTGGCCTCTGGGGACATCAAAATGGTCTAGGTCTTACCGTGCCACCTAAATTCGCTAAAAAAACAATGAGCTGTAAAGTAAACCTTTTCAATTCTAAGAACTAACTGAATTGAAAAGGCTGGTTTAGAGAACAGTTGTAGATAAACAAATTTTACAAGAAATATGATGGTAATCCATAATTGGCTCGCAAAAATTATTACAATATTTATAAAAACCTGGGTTAAACGAATCGATCTGTGCATTTAAAACTCAAAATCATGTATTTTTCAAGGCTCAGATTTTTAACGTACTGTACTTGTTTGTAAAGAGTTAAGTTATAAATCAAGTATTTTTTTCATTATTTTAACAGCAGTTTTGTTACTAATATACTTGTATTACACCAAAAGTTTAGCCTCTAGTAGCTTACTTGTTTCGAAACTCGACCAAAAATATGTAATGTACAGACTTCTCTATTTTCACGCCCCACACTGTGTAAATAAAACATGTGATTGGAGTTTCTTCCATTTGTTTTGATTTTATCTGTTTATATTTCGTCTCCAGCATGACAACCCATAAACCCATGTTAATTTTTTAAAATTTCAATTCCATTTTTGTGCTTAAATTTGAGCCTATTTTAATTTTTAAATGGATTCTGCACTTCTTCAGGAAAATATCTTTCCAACGGTATGCTTAGATTTTCCCTGTGATGCATACGAGTTGAGGAAAAAGGTTTTAAAGAAACATGCTTGCTTATTAATATATAGATAGATATAATGCTTTCCATTTCATGCTGTCAAATTTTATCCGAATGATCTAAATATAAAATAATAAACATCCAAGATATAAAGACTATTTCTTTTAATGGTTTGAAAAAATGATTAAGTTTTTACAGTTTCTACCCTAAGATAAAAATATAATACTCTTTAAACAAAGATAATAGCTTAAATATAAACAGAAATAACAGTACATTGTTTATACACAATGGTTTTTATATACATATATAAATATAGATTATAAAAATCTAAGCAGCGAGCCCTTTCAGAGATGTTGCCAGTTTCTGAGTCTTGTAGTCACTTCGCAACTGAATGAAATTCAGAAGAATGGATCTATCCAGGCCAACCTAAATTGACAAAAGAATTATCAGCTTCACCAACTAATGATTAGCAAAAAAAAAATAACCTAGGAATTGAAGAATAATATTAATATTATTACATTATAATACTTAGCATCTTCTCCCCAATACACAAAATTTTATCTAATTTTGCTTTAAACCACAAGAGCACACATAGCTGACTGGATTTGTACTGTTTGTGTAATTACATTTATTAATTATTGCTACTGTCAGCCATTACTGTGATTTAAGAGGTTGGCAGCCTCTTTTAGCGAATTTCCCATATAGGGAATAAGCTATTACCGTAGTACTCATGGTAAGACCCGGACGCGGGACCGATTTTTTTTTTCGTTTTGAAGTCCCTAGAGGCCAAAAACACCATCCGTTCAAATTCATATATATATATATATATATTTATATATATATATATATATATATATATGTGTCCGTCAGCACGATAACTCGAGCAAAAATGATCCGATTTTGATGAAATTTGGTACAAACGTGTAAACGTACGTTTATTCGAACGAGTTCGCGATCCAGCATGATCGGACCATGGGAACGGGGGTTTACGGGGGGTTTTATGGGGTAAAAATAGGTTTTTCCCATTTTTGACCCAAAAAACATAAAATTTAGCAATTTCTTTCCAAACCATTTTGTAGAGCTTAAAAAAACAAATAATTTAGTATATTGAAGCGTTATTATGCGCCTAATGGTTACGGAGAAAATTCAAAAAAATTGTAAATTTAAAATTCCCATGTTATTTTTATGGAGAATAAGTAAACTGTTGTAGTTTGCTTGTTTGTGAACATATTTTGATCAAATTTGGAAAATGTTTTTATTTCTTACTAACTATTCACATTTTACAAAAAAAAAAAACAGTTTTACCCTCCCTGATGCAGCAAACCTAAGTACTTGTTAAACTAATTCTATTTAAATCAAGAATAAATGTTATATTTTTAAGTAGACATTTCAGTGTAAATCCAATCAGTCAAATGGAAATTCGCTTAGTCTGCAGGTTTGCTGCGGCGGGGGTATTTAACTTTGCATTTGCCTGTCTACACAGGCCTTAGGCCTTTGCATGGAACGTATTCAGCAAATCAAGGGCCACTACTGAGATAAGCAGAAACATAAATAATGAAGATTAATCCTTGAGACTTTACAGCCTAGGCCTAGCTTGGGGAGTTTATTGAATTTCACATGTGCTTGTGTGTTTATTACAAGTTCTCCACAGCTTTGCTGATATATCCAGACTGATGGATTATCTAGATCCAAATTTCACTGTATTTAAATTGGGGCTGTCTTCTAAACGGAGTTTCATTAAAAGAAATAATTAATCCTGGTCTACCCACCAAAGTGTCGCCAGTGCAGACTTGTTTGAGGTTCTCAGGTTTGACGAGCAGCAAGTTACAAAGCCCATGGAGAGTGTCAAACAGATTGGTAACAAGCGGAGACCTCAGCTCTTTGACACACTTCCTGTACTCATTGACATCACATATGGCACACATTGCTCCTGTTGACACAAAGAAGCATCATTACAAATGACATGCATAAACTCATTGACATCACATATGGCACACATTGCTCCTGTTGACACAAAGAAGCATCATTACAAATGACATGTATAATCGGTAAGGGTGATCAATCATTAAATTACGAAGACAGGAGCCAAATATATTTTGGTAAAGTAAAGAGTGCACTGTAAAACTTAGCCTAAACTAAGAACAAAATTCAGTGTTACAGTCCTTTAGCATTATGAAAACCTAAAATTTGTAATTGGCTCATAGCAAATGCATTTTATACCATTAAAGAACTCATGGACCACGAAATAGAAATTGAAGTTTGAAAACAAAATAGATTTATAATGACAGTAATAAGCCTAAATTTTATTGTAACATGACAATGCCTATTCTTATGTCACTACTTTGTCAATGACGATAAATATTCTTGTTCTTACTTAAGATACTTGCCAAAACAAGCAAAGAGGATTTTATAATAGGATGAAGATGAGAAATATACTTGCAGAAGGCCTATTCGTCAACACTTCTATGTAATTTACCTGCTGAGTTGTAAGTGAATTGCAGAAGGTGATCATAAATGACTCTGTGGAATCGACATCCTAGTTCACACATGACAAATTCAATGTTTTTGCCATCCATACTATCTCGGATATGAGCGATTGTTGTATTCATGTACTGCACTACTACGGAACAAGCCTGAAAAGAGCATCATCAAACAACAACTAGTTAGTTTATGTTCATTAAATACTAACTACTATTTATCTAACTAACTAATTAAAACTACCTACCTACTAAATAACTAATGTTAGTTTGGTTTTATGTAGTTGATTTGGTTATAACGTGCAGAATAAATTATGTTATTTAGATTGATGTGTTAGTATGATGATTTTGATTTCAAATGCCATGATGAATGAATCTTGACAAGATAAAAGTATTTCCAATAAAACCAAATTAATTATCCTAGAACAAGGTTGGGATTGAATTGAAGGAGAGTGCTTATCAAAACTATTTATGGAAAAATTCTGAAAATTGTTTTATTGGTGAAAATAAAAGCATTAAAGGAATCAGGGGGTACCTATGCGGAGGGCGGGTGAGACGGGATCATCATACTGCAGCAAAAACAACTGTATTTAATGCATGCATTGCGGGTCTAAAGTAGCATTTTTACTCTCTAGGGAGTAAAAATCAGCTGTTGTCAACTCAGTTGTAAATTTTGATTGTAAACAATTACATGTATCGAAAGTACGTATTGATTGTAGTTAATTGTTGCCTTATTGTAAATAGTTTGACATATCGATAGTATAATGCACACTAACACAATGGCAAAAGATGAAACGATTATCACTTACTACAACAACTGCTTGTTTCCATTAGAAAATTAAATTGAAAACAAGCTAGAGAGGTAATCTTTAAATGAAAACCATTTCAGTTTAGTAACATAGTTGAAATAATGGTGCAATATGACAAAAAATATAGTTCATCACACGGGCAAAAAGTGTCTTTTCAACCCTCGCTCATTTCTTGACGTCGGCTTCACCTCGATAGTAAAACATGAGCTCGGGTGAAAAATAGTCACATTAGGCCCAAGTGAGGAAATATACTATTAATATTAAATTTCCAAAATAAATACTTAGTATATTTAGCACTTTTAGATCAGCAATATTGAACACGTTTCCCAGAAAAAGCCCTAGCCTTCTGCCTAACCCCTCCCCAGGCTAAATCCCAGGCACGCCACTAAAAGGAATTTATAGAAAAAAACAAAAGGTGCCAATTTAAAAAATAAAATAGATTTTAGAAGAGAAGTATGATTCATATAACAGAGAGCTGCAGTGAACAACAAAATGTGTTCTACACCATTACAAGAGGAAATTCTAGCAAAACCTCCAAGTATCTAATACAATCAAGATTGTATTACACTTATTAATATTATATTCATGTTTTTAAAATTAAGACTTTTGTAAAATGTTCTTATACACAACTTTAAAAATATGTTATGCAGAAATAACTTCATTTTTCCTATTTTTGTTGTTCTTCCTTGCTGCAACCCCTGTCTTGGCTACTGTGGTTAGAGAAATATCCTGATAGCATTGATCCCTATACTGTGTAGTCACACAATACTTGGAGGTAGTGTACATAGTTTAAAAAAAAACGTATGAATGATATCTTTAAACTACACAGATTTAACAAAAATGAAGGTTATATAGGAGAATTAGTCTGGTTTGGATGCTGAATACAATTTTATTACCGGTGAAGCTAAGGTATCAACGTCAGTTTCTGGGCGAAAATCTGTTTTCTTTTGTTCAGCTTGGAGATATATTTTGACCCATCCAACCACTGCATTTATCGATCTGGAATATAATTAACATTAAAATTAACATTATTCCCAATATAATTAACCATCAATAGGCAGTACAGTAGAACCTCAATAATTCTACCTTCAATAATTCAGAACCTCCAGTAGTCCAGCTTGATCTCATCCCTCAGCAAAATCATAGAAGTGTCATAGTCGCAATATTAAAGTTTAAACAGTGAGCTGCAACTGAAAATCTCGCCAGTTGTTGGGTGCTGTCCGAAATATGGTTTTTCCTATGATAAATGAATGTAACAAGGTATGTCTGGAAATGATGCATTCAGTTTCATAAGAGTGAACTAAAGTTTACATCCAACCTTGTGCATGACAATGCTCAATATTTGAATATTTCAATATTTGAATTGGTGTTTGACCTCATATGTCACATCGAACACACAATCTCCTTCAATTGTTCAAATAGGAGATTTTACCTCAACCATCTACCCCAAAGTCCGTTTGTTTTGAGCACCAAAATGAAGACTTGGTTAGTAGCACAGCTCTTTAATTATGACAAGCACCAATCGTATGTCACTGGGTAGCTGGGTTCGTGGGTGGCGGAATTCTATGACATAGAAATTTAAAAGTTTGTCCACAGCTTTGATAATTGCCTCTTGTCTGGTGGCTTTGTGGAAAAATAGTAGTTTAGTTGTTCTTGAAATTATATGTAGTAAAAGACATTTCTTGTACAAACGTTTTATCTTATTCAAAAACCAGAGGTGACTCCAGAGGGCAGGCCTGGGCCTACCCAAAACTTTGGTAGATATTTCAAAATGATAAAGAAATACACAAATTTAATTATATGTAAATAATGGGAAAGGATTAAAACTCATTAATTTGCATTTGTATTTTTGAATTTTCCCCATTTAGCGGGGAAGCCCCTCGAACCTCTTGCCCACAGATCAAACTATCTACTTCTTGATCCTTGTCAGGGCAAAAAAAATATTCCTGGAGCCGCCTCTGTCAAAAACGTTCCTTAATTCCTAAACATTCCTTGTATATTGTGATTTTCAATACAGAGTAAATAGTTGATCAGAGAATATTCTACAACAAATCTACCTATCAAGTCCAGTATCCAGCTTCATTTCTATCGGATCCAAAATTCTTTTCTTCATCTGGAAACATTCAAGATGTTTTGGTGTTGATCTGAAACAAAAAGGTTAAGTTTTTTTTCATGTAAAATTGTTATCACAATGAACTTTATAGACTAGACATGCTTGTATATGCAAGAGACAAAATAATATTTAATTTTTATGTATTTAAACTTAAAAGGTGGGTATTTTAATATTTCGATCTAGATAATGAATCAATAGAGGACAGAGAGCGCCGCTTAGGTCTTTAATACTTAAATACGGAAAAGACTAAACAATGAAACACTTGAAAAAAGAGGTCACAGGATGAGCGTGAAACGTCAGCGATTGGAACAAGAATCTCTAGAGCAATACTCTGAAATAATTGGAGAAATGAAATTATCAACATGAACAATCCAGAAATGGAAATCATTTCGTAAGAACAGAAAGACTGGCAAAGAAACGACATGATGCACAAAGATCTGGTGCATTCGATTATTTTCCTTAAAAACAAAGAGTTGTAACATTAGGCCTAATGAAAAACAAAATGTCTTTCTTAGAGACATCGAAATGCCAGACATCATCGGTTCCTGCAATCGGTGTTCTTCTACATAAAAAAAAATAAAGTACTGTCTCAAGCCTTTTGAAACAATATGAAAGTTATTGCTCAGCCACCAGCACTAACAAATCTCCCAGAAGTAGAACAAAGGTTGTTATCACGTATAGTACCTTTATGAAGATAACTAAGATGAAAAATTGGTTCGCCCAGAAGTGGTGTAAGGGGCAGGTGGTTTTGTTTGCTCAAGATGTAGTCGAAATTGCAGATCAGCTTCCTCTAAGCCTTTCCCAAGCAGGAATAATAGTATTGACATGATATAGTAAATGGGTGGAGAATGTTAATAAACATTCCATATCAGCAGAGACATGTTTATTAATTAAATTATTTAATACTTTTAAGTCGATTATGCACTCTCACACTATACTTAAGTCGTGTAAAGAGTTATTGCTTTTAATTTATATTTGGGCCCCTTTTACAAATGCTTTGGTTTTCACAATTCACCTTTATTTGTCAATATCATACAGCTATTGGCTATGTTTTTAAGTCAGACAATTCAATACTCAAAATGGAATTATACACAAATCAGTTCAAATGTTAAAATGCCTTTTTTTATAGTAACTAAAACGAAATGTCTTTTTGCAAAGTAATTTATTTAGGCTCTATGGCAAGAAATAGTTTATTAATCAATATGAAGCAACTGTTTCATGAAGAAATGTCTGTAATAGCCTCATTTAAATGGTTTCAACTAACAGCTGTGGGAACAACTGTTTATTGCCTTCTCCGCACAAATATTATAAACAAAACAAATGTTGAATATTTGAGGTTTTCAGCACTACACTTAAACATAATGTTATAAATGATACCAAAGGGAAACTCACCTGGTTATTTTGGTGGTGGAACCACTCTGATCGGTAAAAGAATTGCAGAGAAATTGGTGAACGTTCATAAAAAAAACATTGCCACAGACAAATTAAGAACCTCCTCCTTCTATTGGTAGTGGGGAAGTCGGTTAAAAAAAAACCACACATTTTTGGTTTCAGACAGGAGTTAATTAATAAAGGAAACCCTAGAGGTCACTTTTAGAAATTCTTTTCTTTATCAACAGTGTTTATATATCAATAGTTATTGTTATTATTATCCATTTATTGTTGTTGCCATCCAGTTAGGCCAATCTTCAAATCCATCAGTGCTATTATGTTATAACCTACTGAATGAATACATGTATCTATGTTTCTGATCTCGCACAAGCATAAGTCCAAGCGAATATTTATATAGGTACCCAAATGCATATTAAAACTGCTATAAGCTAAAAATATTTAAAATAGAAAATGATAAATGGATATTTTGGTTTATTGACTCTACTAGTGTTTAAGCCATAGCCACAAAATCTTTGCCTTGCATGACTATCTCAACTACATTAACATTGTTTTCCTAAAGTTTGATTTATTGCACTATCACATGTTAGAATCTCATTTTCAGGAAATAAGTGGGGCAATTTTTCATGTAGTTTGTTGACAGTCTCGTTTATTGGACCCAGAAATGACAAAATATTATGGATTTACCCTAATATTTTTAGATCTACAAAAAGTGTTTAGGAATTAAACAATACTTAACCAAATAAATAAAACCCACATATGATAACAGATTAATTTTTCTAGTTACAAGTAATACTTCCAGTAAAGGTACCATCTATAGTTCGGCCGCTTAGAAAACGACCTGCGCGCTAATGCTAAACCAATGCTGGAGGAGGTCTCTTTCTAAGCAGCCGAACTATAGAAGTGATTGTTAGACTTACATCACGATCGGTATAAGACTGTCATTAAACTGCTTCTCAACCAGGTGTATGATGGCGTTGGCCTGTGACACAATGTTAAAAAAGTAGACCTGCGGTTGCTGAGTCTTGGTCTCAGGGATGGGAACTGCTTGTAGACCCAACTCAATACCATACTCTACATGTTCTGTGACCAACTGATCCAACAACACCTCCATCACTCGTACAGCGTTGTCTGTCAGCTCTGTGGGCTGTGATAGCTGCAACACACACAGTCACTAGTCAGACACAACTCAATACCATACTCTACATGTTCTGTGATCAACTGATCCAACAACACCTCCATCACTCGTACAGCGTTGTCTGTCAGCTCTGTGGGCTGTGATAGCTGCAACACACACAGTCACTAGTCAGACCCAACTCAATACCATACTCTACATGTTCTGTGACCAACTGATCCAACAACACCTCCATCACTCGAACAGCGTTGTCTGTCAGCTCCGTGGGCTGTGATAGCTGCACCACACACAGTCACTAGTCAGACACAACTCAATACCATACTCTACATGTCCTGTGACCAACTGATCCAACAAAACCTCCATCACTCGTACAGCGTTGTCTGTCAGCTCTGTGGGCTGTGATAGCTGCAACACACACAGTCACTAGTCAGACACAACTCAATACCATACTCTACATGTTCTGTGACCAACTGATCCAACAACACCTCCATCACTCGTACAGCGTTGTCTGTCAGCTCTGTGGGCTGTGATAGCTGCAACACACACAGTCACTAGTCAGACACAACTCAATACCATACTCTACATGTTCTGTGACCAACTGATCCAACAACACCTCCATCACTCGTACAGCGTTGTCTGTCAGCTCTGTGGGCTGTGATAGCTGCAACACACACAGTCACTAGTCAGACACAACTCAATACCATACTCTACATGTTCTGTGACCAACTGATCCAACAACACCTCCATCACTCGTACAGCGTTGTCTGTCAGCTCTGTGGGCTGTGATAGCTGCAACACACACAGTCACTAGTCAGACACAACTCAATACCATACTCTACATGTTCTGTGACCAACTGATCCAACAACACCTCCATCACTCGTACAGCGTTGTCTGTCAGCTCTGTGGGCTGTGATAGCTGCAACACACACAGTCATAACTCAATACCATACTCCACATATTCCCATGCACCCCTGCATACATGCTATGTATGTTGCGATAGCTTATAATATGCTGTGTAGCTGTGCGTCTGATAACAAGGCCTTTTGTGTGATGGAAAGAGAGATGTTTTATGGTTCAATTGTGGCCAGCTACATAGAGTTTCTTGCGTGCGCCAGAGTGAACTCATTTCCTGCCTACTATTCTCTAAAAAAATCCTTGTATTAAGTACCAATATGTCATGTTCTATAATAAATAACAACTCAATTTTTTGTGTATTTATGAAAATTTTGTTTGAAAAAATACAGGCAGTTTATGAGTAAGTTATGTTTGTAGAGATGTTTGGTTGTAATAAATTCAGACGATCTCAATTTAGGAACAACAAAGTGGTTACGATTCCCATTATTATTATTGTAATAGTGTCTGTAGATACATTTGGGAAAAGAGGATTTTTTTTACGATAATAAATTGTGAAATATTACTATAAAAATACTAGGTAAAAGTATTATTATATGTTTGAAAAAAATAGCACTTTCTAGTGTTTTGCTGATAGGGATATACAACTCTTACTTTTTTTGTCATATTAAAACCTTTTTCCCTAAACTCCACAAGATAAATTTATACATACCGTAACATAAGGATGGGGAATATTGTAACATGCAGTTATAAGCGTACTATTGGAGACACAACTTAAAATTACATTACATCTATTCTTTAAATGTGTAACATTATGTATTTGACTGTTTGTTGCTCACAATTTTATTCAAGTTTAAAGTGTTTCCACTGTTTCAATGTAAAAAAATGTTGAAAAACTTACAACTTGACATCGTTGAAAGGCCAATTTTGCTTCTTGTAAGAGAGCTATTGCCACTTCTTCCGACAGAAATGTTTCTCCTCCATAATCCTCTATCTGGGCAATGTTGATATTGGCTCTAGTCCCAATAACTGCTTGTAGATCTCGTCTGAGGTCTTGGAAACTGAAATAAAGACATTTTAAAAATAATATTGAACAAAGAGTTACAATAATGCAAGTATTTAATTAAAAATACTACTAGGGAAGGCCACACATATTTCTTTTGTACTAGGGCGCTAGCCATGAGTCCGGGATTTTTTTCACATTACTTAAGGCTAGACCTAGGACCAAGAACCTCAAATCCCGGCCTACAAGGCTCAGAATCTTTCTACAAGGCTACACAGATAAACACACACACACATCAGGATCTTTTCCTGGAGGCTGTTAGTCATCCTATGTTTCACATAGATAAGGGAGGATTCATTGTGATACCAGTGCCTGAACACTAGATCAACGACGAGCACAGACACTATGCTGCTGCTTCTGCCAACAATAGCAAGGACAATACCATTTTTGATGCCAATAACATTAGGAACAACAGAACGACAAATCTAGTATTACAGCAGCACTAGTAATGCTAAAAACTGAAAAATTATCACAGTATTTAATTTTTAGGGTTTTAAAACCGCATTCATGTTTTTCTTTATAATAATACTAATTCATACGTCATAACCGATTTAAAAATCAGAAACCATGGTCTTTAAGCATCAAGTAATAAGTCTTCATGAGGAAAATGTAATGTGTAAATTTAAACTAAAATTACTTAGAAATCTGATTATGGCCTCTCTTCAGGCCTAGGGGCGCAAAAGGTTTTAGGTTTGTTGGTGTGGTATAAAAATAAAAAATAATAAAACAAGTGGTACAACTTACCCTCCAACTTGAAGCTGTTTTTTCTGATGTCCTTTGATTTCATAATACTTATTTAATATTGTCATACACTTTTCCTTTAAGCTTTTTGTCTCAATGCTGAAAAAAGATAAACTAATTAGGCCTACACTAAAAATATTAAAAAAATCAATTAGCTAAAAATTTTGATGTGTTGGCTCCTAGACATAATTGAACAGTTATTAAAAACCTTGGAAAATTAAATACCTAAAAAGTTAGCTGCAAAAAAGAAGAGGCCCCCACAGTGGCGTTTCTAGGACCTTATCAAGGAGGGAGCTACCGGGGGGCTAGAGCACCCCTAATTAAGGAGGAGGGTCCTCCCCGCAGGAAAATTTAAAATTTTCAAAGCCATTTGGTGACTGTCTAAAGCTATATTTTACACCTAAATCCTTGCCCAATTGTCCATAAACTTGTTGTTTGTCATGAGCAAGTAGACATTTAAAAAAAAATCAAACTATGACGAACTTGCATTCATGAATTTCAAAAGTCAAAACATAGGCCTACTGTAGACTACGAAGCCATATCTTCTAAGAGGTGTTTGGTGACTTTATAAATCCATTTTTAACGTCTAGAACTGTGTGCAATTGTCCAAAAACCTCCCATTTCACCTGTTATATGTCATGCAAGCAAGTAGACACGATAAAAAAAATCGACTCTGGTCAAAAATGTTCTGTTATTGCCCTTATAATTCTAAATAAAATAGTTCAACCCCTCATTTCTGTAAAAATTAAGGTTCAAAAGTTAATGCAACTTTTGTGATTTTTACCTTTTAAATATCATAGTTAGTTACTCTCGTCGCTTACCCATGATAAAGGTTGTTGACAAGCTAATGGGAGAAAGTAGACCTATGTGTCAGATTGAGATTGCTGATACAGTTTATTTTAAATTTGTATGATCATCCAACCACTTGCTTTGTCAAACACTATCTGACTTGGCCAGACTCAGCTAACATGGGGCTGTATACTAACCTGATGTACGAGTCAAAATACTTCTGGAAGATATTCCTGGTAAGTGTACTGAGGTAAGAGTCGTCTGTTCCCATGTTGAAACGAGACAGTTCCCTTGACAGCTGGGTTGTTCTATAATGAGAACAGGGTGTTTATCAGTAGGTACAAATCAGCCCACACAACTAAATTCTATGGCAGCTGGTGTACAGGACTGTTTGGTTTGCCATTAACAGCATAATGGTAAGTAGGGATGAGCCGATTCTCATTCTTTATTCTTCAAAACCTTTGATATCCAAAGTTTTAAAGAAATATCAATCTTCAAAACTTAGTGGCCAATTAATACCAACTGTGGCGAAAACTAGATTATCTACTGCACTTGCGGTGCCATTTTGAAAATATCCTGCTCAATGATGGAAATAATTGTCAGTCTGCAACCATATTGTGAGACTGTCATACCAAACATGTCAAACTTATACAAAGTCCACAGAAAAATAAAAAATGGGAAAAAATTTCTAAAACTATAAAAAATTCCTAAAAAAAAATACTTTGTGTGCAAACTTACCTACTGTATAAATCCATAAGGTTTTTCAGATATTTATCTGTATCAGATTTGTCTGAAAGTTTGCTGACAACAAATTTCTGAAAAAACAAAAAAAACAGTAATGATGTTAAAATTATAACAATATATCCATTAATAAAGATAATGGCTACGACACCTTTGTTGATAAAGGTAATAAATTAGGTCTAGTCATATTTTGAGTTATTTTTAGTGATTATTACAATTTGACAAAATCTATTGTACCAGAACGAATGTTATTAAAAAATTAGGCCTAATAAAGGTTTTGATTTGAATATATTTAAGATGAGCGAGATACAAAAATATAATGGGTAAAACATGAAATGAAAACAACTGATAGTGAAAAGTAGTTTTTCATGCGTACAGTAGCTATTGGAATTATTTTAAGTAACAAACATATGAAGGACTTAATTCAATTGAATATGCAGTTCAATGTTGAATACATGCAGAATTTTTATGCCCACAAGATCTACGGGTAAAATACCCCCTTGGATATTTACAGGAAGGTTCCTTAAACATTTCAGATTCATTCCCTATTTACATAACATTAGATTTAACAAGTACTTAGGTTTGTTGCTACAGGGGAGAGAAAAGGTCTTTTTGTTCAATATGAATAAACAAATTATCCAAATGTTATCAAAACATATCTATAAAAAAGCAAGCTACAACAGTTAACTTATTTGCCATACGAATAACATGAGAATTTAAAATGTAGGTAGCTTACAGGTTTTTAAATGTCACCCGTAACCATTTAGGTTACAACAAAACTTCTACTAAATTATTTCATTTTAAGCCCTACTAAATGGTTTCAGTAGGCATTAAAAAATATCATATTTTGAGGGTGAAATTGTGAAAACCTAACTTTTACCCCATGAAACCCCGTTCTCTTAGTGCAATCATGCTGGTTTAGGCTCGGACTGGCCCACTTGCCCATCTGAATGTGCTGGGTATACAAAATTCAGGGACCAATGTGACATTGCCACGCCACCACAAACCTTGAATAAAGGATCAGAGGCAACTAAATTGTTCCAAAGCCTCAACGGCTATCAGGACTCTACTATGAACATATGATTATTTATCACTCATACTACTACTCATGACTATTTATGATCATTTTACTAACCTGTAGCTTAAAGTGGTAGATGTTGAGGACAAATTTACCCATAACTTGCTCAGGGTTGTTAAACACCTCTTTCATCAGAGTAAAGTTTTTCTCACACATTGGAATGACGTCACTGAACACATCTTTACCTCCGAATGTATTCTGGAAATATACATCTTGACACAATTGGTAAAAATACAAACTCTATAACTTTGAAAGGGGGGGGGGACAAGAGTAAAAAAAATCTCAGATAAAATTACAGTAGAGTCCCGCAAACTCGGCACTCGATAACCCGGCAGTCTGGATAACTCGGCCATCACCTGGCTCAGAAAATTTGTGATTTTTTGAGTCCGAGTTAAACATGGACTCAAGCCAGCTCAAGTCAAACCATTCGCAGCTCGTACCAAGGATTTGTTGTACTATATCTGATGACTTAATACTAACTTGTAATATAAATATAAATAAAAGAGGCAAAAAATAAGCTTAAACATTTTATTGTTCTCATTTTTAACCCTAGTTCCCAATAAACCCGGAATTTTACAAACTCTGCACCCTTCCAGTCCACATTACGCTGAGTTTGCGGGACTCAACTGTATCACTAAACATCAATAAACATAGTAATGCTTCAAGTGTGTTGTTAAAAACACGCTTGCAATTCAAAGAATTTACTGGAAAAACAATTTCAACTATGCAAACTCATACTGCAAGTGCAATATGTTTTGGAAAACTGTTTTAAGTAATTTAATTACTGGTTAGTACAGGTAAATGAGTACATTACTCAATGTCCTAAACAGTGTCTCATGACTATGAATACTTCTGTTAAGTTGAATTTAAAAAAATGTTTGTACACTGTACAGTCACATTGAAAAACAATTTTTTTATTTAAAACATTTTGAACACACATTTTTATTCCCCTTGTAGGTGCTGTACTAGAAATTTCTAAAATTATATCAAATAACAAATTTATTAAAATATAGAATTACAAATTACAAATGAGAAATTACACTGCGGTACCTCAGTCAGAAATGTGCATGACAATAGTGTTGAGGTAGAGACAATAGGTAAAATTAGACTACAGCCTTACCGATTGGCTTTGCTCTATAAAAGCGTCAATGCACTGAGTGTACCCCTTGAAGTTTGATAGGATAGAGGCAATCTCTCTCATTCTTCCCACATCATACTTGCGATGGGCTTCGACAAACTCTTCTATCAATGCTCTTTCGATCTCATCATACTTAACTGCTATTTTTTTCTTTGCTTCTTCAAACCTGTGTTACAAAAGATTGTCTTGATTTTATTTACTGAAGTACTATTCCATTATTTCACTTCATTTATCCCACACTATTTGTACTGTTAGAGTATAACTATTGACTATTGGATACTTATAACATAGAAGTATGTTAGTGTTTTTTATTAACACATGGTTTGGTTTGTTATATTTTTTTTATTTTTGTAATGGTTTATTTTATTCTTTTTACAATGTTTTGTCAGATGACATAGAACGATGAACTCTTTTAGTGCTTTGGCATCGCTCACAGTAACAATGTATTTATCGGCTTCAGTACAAGTCTATGAGATCGACTCTTTGTATTTCATATAGTACACAACAAAACTGTGAACTTAAGAATGAGAATCTTTACTGTTCCTTAAACATTTTACAATGCCACAGGATTAGTAATTTTGAGAATCGCTTTATATTTTTATATACAATAAAATTAAGATTAAAGATAACAAACAAAAGAATAATGAAGATAATTTAATTAAATAAGTTTCAATTATTATTGGCTGGTTAATGAGTCAGTTCAGTCCGAAAGCTTTAAACTAAGGATCGTCGCTTTATTTCAGTTTGGTGCTCTCTCTGTATGGCCACTATCAAGTCCAATAAAAGCAAAGCACTATGTTAGAACTAACAAAAAATACAAAATTTCAGTGTTGACAATTCAGACAGAAAAAACGAGGAAAAGAGCAAACGTTTATGCATTAATATGTTTTATGAGACATATTTTTATATTTACTGAGTGTTGTTACTTTAAATCTAACAATCTAGGAACTAACTGAGTGTGTCTTACTTTCCAACTGGTAACTCCTGAGCTATAAGGTGTAGTTTTTGTATTACATCTGCGGCTTCATCAATCTGGAAACATTTACAAACATTACATTCAAATGATTCATAACTTACTATGTATAAAAAAGTCTGAACCTAATGTAATAAAAAAAAAATGGTTAACTGAAATAGGGTCTACACATGTTATAAAACCCTAACCTGTATGCAGCCACAAATAAAAAACGTGAAGATGTTGGAATTGATATTTTTTTAGATCTACTGAGAGAATGAAGGGCTTTAATTTCATTGTCAAGCTGAGGCTGACATACATGAGGGCTAAAAAATCAACATACTCAAAATATTTTGAAAACCGTACCTGGGCAAACTCAGACATAACAGGACCCGGTGTAAGGAACTCAGCAAAGTGGTTCATAAGCTTCTGGGCCTGCACAGCTCTGGATCTTGGTGTGTTGACACTCTCTAGCTGATCTCCCAGGTGGATCACCTTGGTAGCCACAAAGTTGATCCGTTCATCCAGCTCTTGGAACAAACTGACTGTCGCCTACACCAACATTCAACATTACACCTTAGTGTTTGGAGGAATAAATAAGTTAGTGTTGGAATTTTCTTTAACGAGAAATTAGAGATATTCTCCAAGTTTGAAGTAAACATGACGACAACGTTGATCGTTATTTTGTCTAAGCAAGAATTTGTACTGCCACTGACCAAGTTATTCCTGCGATGCTGCAGTTTGGGAGGGCTAACGATTGGATACATGTACGATTACCAATGTTAGGGCATCTTTAGTTCAAGATAAAAAAAAAACTTGATGTGTTTCCTTTAAACAGCACTAAATCCATCAAGTATTTTTTTAAGATATTGAAATATGAATTTTCAAAGTCTTTTTGATTGAAAATTCACCCTTTAACTTATAGGCTAAGTTGAGAAATAAATATACAATTAATGTTAGACAGGCCGCTTAAAGTGTAATCAACTTGCCAGTTGTAACATTCATAATATTATTGAATTGATACAGTATTTTCACACTTGTTTTTCAGTTACCTACTCATATTGACAGATTTTGTTTACCACAAAATAAATTCAGTAAGAATCTCTATTAAAAACCCTAGCATTTTCAGAAAACTCAAAGCAACATTTAAAACTTGTTCCCGAGTTTAAGTGGATTTTGCTATTCAGTTTGGGTTTCATTGATGTTTCATTGATCACACTACAGTAAAATGAAACATTAATTTTACAAGTAAACCAAAAGAAATAAAATAGTAAAATAAACCACTTTTTTTTATAAAACAATTTCCTTACTAGAAATAAATTACCAAAAAACCAAAATTACAATCTATGTCAAGATAGACACAGAGCTTAGTGCAGTAAGCCTATGGCAACTGATTAATTTAAAGACTAAAAAATAACAAAAGCAATGGTGGTTGGAGAACAGTACAGTAAAACTCCAATCATTTGAATCAATTTGGACGATACATAATTAATTTGCAATGGTCAGGATAATTTATAACAAATAATTAGAAACTACACAAGCTTTTACTGTTGCAATCACAGAATGTGTCTGATTTTGCTATAAAAAATATATAATTTTCTGTAATCACGGAGGTTGATAGTGATATTTTGTGACTGCAGGAGACGATGATGATGTCTAAAAGACTGCTGAAGATGCTAGAGATTGTACCTCGATAAAAATGAATGATGATGATGTTTCTGTGACTACGGGAGACAATGATCATTAAAACATGACCAAAGAGGATTCGAAGATTTTGCAGCAATCGCATTTGTGACGATGATGATGTCCACAACTTGCACACAATCGCAAGAAATGTTCAGGATTAAGTCACATTCATGACATTTATCTTTTTCAATACCGATTTAATTACGGTATTGTAGTTTTAGGTTTTTTAAATGCCTTCTTTAAGCAATGAGGATATTTGGCAAGGTTTGAGTTCTATTGCAGTTATTTCAACACACAAAAACTAAGTAGCTACCAAAGAACTTATATACATGTTAGAACATTTCAGTTCCAAATCAATGAAGGAGGAAACATTACAGTGCTGTATATTTTTGCCTACCTTATTTTTTTCCTGCAGCTTAGAGATATCTTGCCAATGTTTTACCTCTTCATCTCTACAAGCTTGTTCCAATTTTTCACATTTCTTCTGCTGCCTTTCTAAAAGCAGTTGTAGATCCCTAAAAATCATTTTGTCATACTAAGCAAATACAACTGTTGATTTTGAAGTTTTATTATTATGAAGTTTGCAATGCAAGGCTAAAGTAGGTCTTTTTACCCCTAGAGTAGGAAAGAATAAGCTACGGTCGCAGAGGCTGACTCATGGTCCCCCCCCCTTTGTATTCTGTTTTAGACAAATAAAATATAGTTTTGATGACAAAAAAATAGGCTAGGCCTTATATTTTCACATAGTTACTAGAATTTTAAATTTTATTAAGATTGACTTCACAGCAATAAATATCCCTTTACCAGTATTTAAACTATTTAAAATACCTGTATGTAAAGATAATTCAATAATTTGGATTTGGTCTTTCGTTTATGTCAACCTATTCTGTTGGCAGAATAATATCTGATGCAACTAACGCTCTTCAAAACACCAAAACAGGTCAAATACAGTAGTACCCCTGATATCCTGCCTTGGTTTTACCGGTCCTCAGTGAAACTCCCCATCTCTTTTCTTCTGCCAACAACACTCATCCCCTTAACACGTAGGGTGCGTCCTTACCCGATCGGGAACGCTCGGTAATGCCTTTCATATATCTTAGTTTTTGCTCTAGCGTCGGTTGAAGGTGGACCTATAGCATGTTAGCATGAAGTGTGTCACTTGCTTTTTGTTGTGGTGTAGGTAGGTCGTAAATTTCCTTGTAAAATCCCTATCTGACAAGCTTAAAAATCAACTTGTCCTGTCTTTCTCCCTCCAATTGGCAATACAATGGCACCGGCTACGTTCAAAGCAGTGCTGCTATCTGTGGGTGTTTTAACGAACTACGTCGACGCTCGTCGTAAAGCAGGACATCACCGCACGTTATTTGCTATTCGTTAGACCGAAATTTGAGAGACAATCTTCGGAAATCGGGTTTTTTCGACGCTGCAGGCTGCGCCGCACTGGGACTATTATTTTTGCCTAAACAAGATCAGTAAGTTTTACTCAATCGAAATTTAAATTTATCGTAATTAATTGTAAATTAATGTTTGAAGACACTGAAACAGAAGGAATATGTATTGTATAGGAAAACAAAGAAAAATACTGATATATAGATAAAAAATCATGAATAATTATGAATATTCAATGTTCCCTTTTTAACAGGAAAGTTCTGTTCATGGTAAGGCTTTTTGTATAAGTTAGGCCTAACTTACTTGATCGCTTGAGAAAAAGTTTCATGCATTAGCACAGGATCAAATGTGCTATTTCCTTCTTCTCTGTTGCTGTCAACAGTTCTCCATGCCAGACGTTCAACAAACTCCTCGGGGTCAAAAGGCTCCTAGAAATTTACATGTGGGATTAAAGTTTTTAATCAAGTGTAGTAGGCCTATTACAAAGACAATATGGGCTAGGTAATTAATTATAAGGTTATCATAGTGATTACAGGATAATTACTGCTGTTACTCTGACACTTACCATTCCAACTGCCTAGATTAAAACTTAGGCTGAGATAATTTTGTGTTTGGAAGACTGATTAGGCTATCTATATGATTAAAAGAATTTGTTGGATTTTTGTGTGCAGCAAATCGACAGCTAAATATTTATTTGTATTGGCATATTGGGTATAAATTTAAAGCTCTTATCCTCTTGATCTGCCTTTTGCAGGTTTGGATGATATCTCGTATTCTCTTATTAATGTAATAAACTAATGAGTTATACATTTTATATATTGCCTAAGAATAGGCCTATGTGGTATTTTACATTGGGGGACCATAAAAACTGTAAATGGAAAGCAGTCAAAACCCACAAAGTTTTGAGAGATTGCAATATAGGCCTACCAGGGGTCTTCATACCTAACTTAACTTACTTGCCTCTTGCAACGGGTACACTTCCATATCTGTTGGCACAAACAACCGAATGGAAATATCGATCGATATATCCATTATTCGATATATCGTTTGGTTAGTAAGGTAAGGTTAACCTAACCTAACTAACCAAACGATATATTGAATCAAACAATTGAATAATCAATATTACTCATTCGGTTTTTAGTGCCAACAGATATGGAAGTGTACCCCTCGCAACAACTAAGTTAGGCTAGCAACACCACCAATTATACAAGATACTGGGACTGTTGACAGATCTAACACCCAAGTTATCCTATCCATAGATGTTGTGCAATGACTGTACAATGGTTTAATTTACAAAACCTACAATGGCCAACATACACGTTTGAAGTTTGTGTCAAGATACTAGGCTAGCTTAGTTAGGTGATCTTGTTGTGCGTATGAGTTGTGACAGAATTTTTTGGCTTAGCTAAAAGATAATCAGAATTCTTAATTTCTTTCGATCCATATAGTTAAAATATTAACTAAAATGCTGATACTTTTCTTTAGGAAAGTCGACTCGACTAAGTTAGACCTATTTGGGTTTTTACTAAGTCTTACCTGCTCAAGCTCTTTCATGTATTGCTGCATCATCTTGATGCCACAGTTTTAGTTTGAAGAATTTATGTCTTGGTTGAGAACAGAATATTTAAAACAAGGATTTAATTTATCTACTTTACACTTTCTCTCAGCCAAGAACATTTAGGATTTAATTTATAGGTTAGTTCATCGTTCATCATTTGTTTGGACTACGACTACGACTACAGACTACAGACAGACAGACAGAATTCAATATTTTTTTGCAAGATGTGATTGTAAACAAAAACAGCTGGTTGGCATTAAAGCTTTGTGACAGAAAGAAAGGCATTGCGTGGAGATGAGAGATGAGAAAATAATCGGCAAGGAATAATATCCCGGACCAATGTTTATAGTCCAGGCGCTAAACGGGTTGAGTATACACTGAAAGTCTGACAAAATTTGACTTTTGATTATTGTTGGGGACATCTAGTAGATGAAAAACATCGATGATGTCGCATTTCTACGGTGGTCACAACTCGGGGGGGAGGGGCGGAAGTTGCGCGGGTCATCGGTTAACGTTTCCGCGTCTAACTCACAAACGGTTAATGATAGAAAGGTGAATTAAGCGTCTATCTACGCCTAAATATATTGTCTTTTAAAAAGGTTATTACAACCTTTCTTCTATCTCTTATTAGTGCAGTAAAAATAAGAGAAAATTTCCATAAACCTAAAAAAAATTAGCACAACCGGGGAATTTGGTACAGATGTTGGGTGTACCTTCCTTTTGAACATACTAAAAGTCCCCTAAAATTGAAGCTGTGCTACGGCCGCCATATTGGAAAATGGCAGCATATATCTGTATTTTTCGCTATAGTGACTTTATTATTACAGATACAGGAAAAAGCTAAATATACAAAATGTAGATCATTTAAAGATACACATTTTTTGTATTTACCATCTTTCTCTAAACCCAACGGTTTTTGAGTTATTTGTTATTAAGTATATTTAGTTTTTTTTATATTTATCAAAAATAGGTAAAACACATGGAAATTGGCCGTTACTTTCAAGGATTATGATAATTTATCCCATTTAGTTAAATAGTGTGATACTAAAAAATACATTAAAATTTAAGCTTATTTTATGAGTAAAACAACTCTGCCACAGCAACCTGCAGACTCAGCAAATTTCCTTTTGATTGGATGTTTTATTAATTGTATTTAAATAAAATCAGATTCAACAGGTACCTAGGTTTGCTGCTACAGGTAGGTTATTATAGTGTGTTTTTTTTTAGTAAAATATCAATAACTTAGTATAAAATAATTAATTTTCCAAGTTTGATCATAATAAATCTATAAACAAACAAACTGCAACAGTTAACTAATTCATAATAATAGCATGGTAGCTTAAGATTTACAATTTACAAATTTAAATATACAAATTTTGGTTGTGTTTACTAAAAATATGGCGATTATTCGTCACCATTCGAATACTAACCAAAGGGGTTTTCAAAAGGAGATGAAGCAAGTAATTTAAGTACTGTAATATTAACTCGTACCAAGTATCGGAAATATTGTATGGAGTGAGGAAATCAACCATATTTTGTAAACTACGCAATAGTCATATTAATATTTTATACTCATTTGTACCCATTTAATAAAGTAACATTTTAATATTTTGATGGCACTACCACTATCACTCTGATATCAACTAAGTGGGATGAATAATTGTCGTAAACCTTGAAAGTAACCGTCGATTGCGATGGGTTTCACCGATTTTTTATAAATAAAACTAACTATACCATGCTTAATTAGTCACCAACATGAACTAGACACGAAAAACACCCTTCCAAATTTACAATGGGATGTCAAGTATAGTTAGTTAGTGTGGTGGTGCCATCAAAATACTAAAATGTTAACTATTAAATGGATAAAAAATAAGATAGAATATTAATATGACTATTGCGTACTTTACAAAAAATATGGTAGATTACCTTACTGCATACAATATTTTCGGTGCTTGGTACGAATTAATATTACTTAAATAACAGGCTCCATCTCCTTTTGAAAACCCATTTGGTTAATATTCTAATAGTGACGAATAATCGCCATCTTTTTAGTAAACACAACCAAAATTTGTATATTCAAATTTGTATATTGTAAATTTAAAACTCCCATGCTATTCTTATGAATTAGTTAACTGTTGCAGTTTGCTTGTTTATAGATATATTTTGATCAAACTTGGAAAATTAGTTATTTTATAGTAAGGTATTGATATTTAAAAAAAAAACACTATAATAACCTTCCTGTAGCAGCAAACCTAGGTACCTGTTGAACCTAATTTTATTTATATATACATTTTTTTATAAAACATCCAATCAAATGGAAATTTGCTGAGTCTGCAGGTTTGCTATGGCGGAGTTGTTTTACTCATAAAATAAGCTTAAATTTTTAGATTTTATATTATCACACTATTTAACTAAATACAGTAGGATAAATTATCATAATCCTTGAAAGTAACGGTCAGTTTCCATGTGTTTCGCCTATTTTTTATAAATAGAAAAAAACTAAATATACTTAATAACAAGTAACTCAAAAACCGTTGGGTTTAGAGAAAGATGGTAAATACAAAAAATGTGTATTTTTAGATGACCTACATTTTGTATATTTAGCTTTTTCCTGTATCTCTAATAATAAAGTCACTATAGCGAAAAATACAGAAATATGCCGCCATTTTCCAATATGGCGGCCGTAGCACAGCTTCAATTTTAGGGGACTTTTAGTATGTTCAAAAGGAAGGTACACCCAACATCTGTACCAAATTCCCCGGTTGTGCTAATTTTTTTTGGTCAAAACATATTTTTACTGTACTATATACTTTAGGCGCTAATCAACATTTATTGAAAAAAATAAAATTTAAAAACCCTTTAAAATGAAATATCGGAAATATTGCGCTTGTTTAGGGCATGTTACAAACTATTTATGGTTAGAAAAACTAACAAGTAGTACAACAACACCAAGTTTAAAGAAATCCGTGCAAAAACAACAGAGCTACGTTGATTTCAGTAAGAGTAAACGTGGAAAATTCGTAGTAGTATCGAGGATGCAAGGGCGGTCCCAGGGGGGGGGTCAGGGGGGTCATGACCCCCCCCAAAATATTTTTTATATACATAAACTATTATACCAGGGAAACATTAATAATTTTTATTGCAAATGGTTTTACCAAATTTAAATTCGTTGTAGTCTTTACACTTGTAGCGAACGAAAGGACTAATTACAAAGTCTAACCTAAAACTTGGGATCGTTCAAGTCTGACTATGCTTTTGTACGTTATGAAAAGTAGGGAAGATCGGCAGACAACGGACGCTTCCAGCTATATATGGCAACGGCAGTGTTCGATGCGGGCGTTCGACGTTCGGCTGCATTCTTCTTCTTATTTAATTTTTCGGCATTTAATGTTGTACTGTAATTCATTTTAACTCAGATGATTGAAAACTTGAATTGGGTATTGGATAAAGAAAAGAAGTTGTATCAATAGTCAAAGTTTGAAAGGTAGTTGAATATTAATTTATCTGAGTTCAGCGTTAGGAATTTGTAATTACAGTAATGTAATTCAATGATTACCGTAGCAAATTTCAAAACTTACAATATTAAATAGTATTCATATTTAGAGCACCTGACATCATATTTAAGAACACAACCCAATAGGCATGTTGCTAGCCACAAAACAACAACAAAATGGTAGTGTCTCAGACTTAGATGCGGAAGGGACGGATTTAATTCCCGACCCAACCACAAAAACGTTGCACAAAAACTTTATTCTCACGTTGACCCCTTGTAAAATGCCACTGGCACTGGCGTATAAAAAAATGAGAATACTGAGAACCAATTCTTCAGGCGGTAGCAGTGACGGGACGCCGACGCAACGTTAGTTGGGTAGTGTACTTTATAGGTTAACTGTTGCTTACTGGGCAGGTATAATGCAGTCGTGTTTGGTGCAAGTTCTTAAACACTTCTTAGATAAAATAAGTTCTCTTTTTTGAAATCTTGGTCTGATTTTGGACATTTTCTGTTTAGTATGCACATCAGCACCAGTTGGAAGGGTGTTTTCGTAAATCATTATAATGCTTGAATGTGTTGTAATGTTGCGGTATTCCTTTGATATTAAAACCACAAGTCTCAATAATACAAAAACATGACATTATACAAGTTTATTTTTAGACATTTCTTTGACCTTTAAATAAACTGGGAAGCTTGAACACATTAAACTAGGTCCTCAAAATAGCTTAAAAACCACTCATTTTAGCACGTTATTTCCAAATTTTTTTCCGGGGGGGAACCCCCGTACCCCCCTCCTTTACTGGCCCCCAGGCCCCCCGGTGACCCCCCCCCCCAAAATATATGTCTAGGACCGCCCTTGCGAGGATGTTAACGTTACTTCAGTGCCTTTATCTGACCATCAGGCTCTGGAAATTAAGCTAACGCCCACTGACTGTAGCAACAAACATCAAGAAACGACTTCTAAGATTACTCGTTGTTTTAGCCTAAAAAACAATGAAAACTTTATGTCCTACATGCTTAACACTGATTGGCTCACTATCAATAGCAACTCCTGTGATAATTTTCCTGAACATTTTTTCATGCATTTCTTTCAGAGCTTTGACACTTTTTACCCTGTTAGAATTATGAAGTATAATGCGAAGAAATCTCTTAAGCTTGGGCCTACCTGGTTTAAGCAAGAACATCAACAAATGAGAAAGAAGTTATCGCAACTGTATGACTTCCTTCTCTGGGCTAAAAAATATAATCTTTCTGTGGATATTATTAGATTCAGGTATTTGGCTGCCAAACGAAGATATAAGAAAGCTCTTGTACAAGCTAAACTGGACCACAATGTGACTAAAATTTCCCAATCAGACAACAAATGTAAAACAGCTTGGGAGATTGTAAACAACTCCAGGAACAGGCCTACTCGTAATGATGACTGCAACCTCACACCCGAAGACTTCAACTCGTATTTCATCTCATCTGTGGAAGATGTCAGTAAACAAGTCAACCTATCTCCAGAAAGAGCGTCTGATTTGCTGGGAAATCACCAACACCCAAACCCCATCTTCAAGTTCAAACCTGTGTCCTGTGATTACATAGAAAATATTGTAAAAAATTTGAAAAGTGGCCATAGCAGAGATATCTATGGTATCAGTGGAAATTTTATAAAGAGTATGTTACCTGTGA